GACGCCATGGCACTCACTCTAGCCTGGGCAACAAACTGAGACTCTGTCCACCCCCCCCCCCCCAAAAAAAAGTTGATTGACTAATTTCAAAGTTAATTTTATAGCGTCCTTAAATGTTTTGCTAGTAATTATTTCATACTGGCAATTTATTTTGCCTTAAAACATACGACCTTTTCCTAGTAAAAGGCTCTCATATCAGGAGGTTTTGTTCTATACAGAGCCAAAAGGATAAACTCTTATTTCCTTTGATATGCTTAGCTAAATTGTTTCTTCTAGAAATGTTGAAATCTAATTCATCACCATCTAACCAAAATACCCCCCAAAACAAAAAACTAAAACAAAAACAAGTATACACTTAAACTCTTTGGTGATGCTAATTCTTTCTTTCTCTAATATCATCTGGGTCATGATTATAAAGGCTTCAGTATTACAAAAGCTCTAATTCAAGACAGCAACTTTCCAAATGATCAACTTATCAAATCATATATGCACCTACTTTAAAAATATTAATTTCTTATAAAATTTATGCCTCAATGTTCAGTTTATTTGGGAAATGGGCATACCATGAATGTCAAGGATTTTGTAAATGTCCATGAAATAGAAGCACCAAAGGCCGTGGACTGCATTGAAAATAGTAAACATCAAATTTGGTGAATTAATTTCACATTTCTTTATAGCTGTCTTTCCAGGCTACGTTGAAAGTTTTGTCCCTTACCAAAAACTGTGTTTTTTCCTCTATAAATTGATATCTATTCATTGTAACTTAGTAAATGTTTCTTTTACTTTTTATGGAAATGTTAATTGCCCAGGCTTTTCACTTTTTGGATGCTGGAGCACTTCTGGAATGCTCAACTTCTATATATAAATGGGGGGCTTACCCTAAAATGTAGTTGAAGTTGTCATGCATATGAGAAGAGCAAGTGAGGATGCAAATGTGAAATCTCTTCCAGGACCACTTTCATCATGCTGTCCCCCAAACCCTCTACCTCCCATTCAAGAATGCATACCAGCTAATGAAAAGAAGTAGGAAGGATAGTGACTGGTGTATTGCTCAAGATATGACATGTGTTTCAGTAACATTCTACCTCAAATTTCAGCAGCTTAAAACAACAAAAGTTAACAAAAGTTTTATTTCTCACTCGTTCTACCCATCCACTGGTTGACAGAAGAGTTCTGTAAAACTTAGTCACTCAGGGACTTGGGCTGATAGAGCAGCTACCATTTTGAACATTACTGGAGGGAAAAGAAAAGACGGTTACCCATTCAGCAAACTCTGGCCTGGACACATGACACTTCTACTCACAATGGATTGGCTGGAACCAAGCACAAGAACCCACCTACCCAGAAGAGGGTCTGAAAGTGGAAAGTACTAGAAATATTTGACAAACAAAACTAATGATTACCACGGCTGTATTGAAAATGTGTTGAAAGAGCACTTTTGGCAAGAACAGCGATGACTTCAGCAAAAATGGAAACAATGTGAACAAGGCTGGATCACAGTGTTGGCTATTCTATGATATTCACATTTCTTCTCCTTAAAACTCTTTTTCAATTTAATTCAATTCAATAAACATTAATAAATGCTTTATACAGCAAGATGCCTGATATACAAAGGTGGGACAATAGCAAAACTATAGGTATCACTATTTCTTTTGAATGTTATACTCAGGTTACTTTGGGATCATCTTAAGAAAAACCAATAAATCTTTGACAATGGCCCCAAAGCAGACCTAAGTATATATAACCATTTAGATTATAATAATAGTGTGGACAGGTACTGTGTCAATTTCTATTTTTTTTTAAAAAAGTTAAATTCCTTTCTCATATCATTTATTAACAATTACTACAGATACATTTGACATATGACATCAAAGGCAAAACCCACAAAAGCAAATAGAAAAATCAGACTTCATTAAAATGAAAAACTTTACTGCTTCTAAGAAAACCAAAGAAAGTGAAAAGACAACTCATAGAATGGGAGAAAATAACTGTAAATCATATATCTGATAGAGGATTTATATCCAAAATATATACATTTTTAAAGACCTCAATCTCGACAATAAAAAGACAACCCAATTTAAAAATGAGCAAAGGATTTAAATACAAATTTCTCCAAAGAATAGACATAAATGGCCAGTAAGCACATGAAAAATATATGCGACATCATTAGTCATTAGATAAATACAAGTCAAAACCACAATGAGATACCACTTCGCGCTCACCGGAATGGCAATAATGAAAAAGACAGTCAGCAAAAAGTGTTGGCAAGGACGTGAAGAAGCTGGAACCCTTGTACATTGCTGGTGGGAATGTAAGATGGTGCAGCCATTTTGGAAGACAGTCTGGCAGTTCCTCAAAAAATTATATAGAGTTACCATATGACCCAGTGTCTTGGCCTGTTTTCTGTGGCTGTAACTGAATACTGCAGATTGAATAATTTACAAAGAAATTTATTTCTTACAATTCTAGAGGCTGTGAAGTTCAAGATCAAATGGTCACATCTGATGAGGGCCTTTCTGCCAGTAGGGACTCTCTATAGAGTCCTGAGGTGGCATAGGGTATCATCACATGGTAAGATGGCCAAACTGGCTTTTATAACAGACCCACTCTCATAATAACTAACTAATAATTATCCCTTGATAATCCATTAATCCATGAATGGATGAATCCATTTAGGAGGGCAGAACTCTCATGATTTGATCATTCACAATGTCCCAGCTGTCAACACTGCTGCATTGGGGACCAAGTTTCTTACGTGAACTTTTGGGAGACACATTCAAACTATAGAATACAGCAATCCCACAACTAGGCATATATCCCAGCAAAATGAAAACACATTCACGGAAATACTTGTTCGTGAAGGTTCATTATTCATAATGGCACAAAAGTGGGAACAACCCAAATGTCCATCAACTGATGATAAATAAACAAAATGTGATATATCTATATATTGGAATATTACTCAGCCATTAAAAGCAAGAGATATTGACATGTGCTACCACATGGGTACACCTTGAAAACATTATGCTAAGTGGAGGAAGCCAAACACAAAAGCTCACATACTGCATGATTCCATTTGTATGAAATGTTCAGAATAGGCAAATTCATAGAGACAAGTGAATTTATGGTTGCCAGAGGCTGGGAGGAAAGTGGAATGGGGAGTGACTATTAACGGGCACAGTTTCTTTGTGAGACAATGAAAAAGTTCTGGAATTTAGTGGTGATGACTGCACAAGTGTAGGAAATGTAACACCAACTTTATTAATAAAATACATATACTTATAAAAGGATGGACAAATAGTTAAAGCTAAATAAGCAGGAGGCCATTAGCATGGGATTGTTTTTGTACCCAGAGCTCTTAGGTAAGCACACAGGAACTTAACCTAGAAACATTTCTTATAACTCACTTGGTTAAAAATATATAATTTGCATATAATTTTAAAAGAAAGCTCGTTTTACAAGCTTGTTTATAGAATCATTCTGGTAGGGTACCATATTATAATGAGAGTATCCTTGGTTGTTTTAAGTCTTCAAACTCTGAATTCCAGCTTCACTTCCTTTTAGTTTGTATATTAATGACTTGAAACCAGTTTTGGATAATTTAGATGTATACATCCCTATCACAGAAAACAAAGATATGACTTAAATTCTTGACTATACTCATCTATTTTTGGCTACAAATTATTGAGTGCTTATTCTGTCAGACACCAAGCCAGGTGCTTTTAGTGCATCATTTAAATTTAATCCTACCAACAACCCCATGGAGTAGATATTATCCCTATTTTACAGATCAGGATACTGAAACTCAGAAAAGTTACATAGCTCATAAATGTCAATAGGATTCAATCCCAGGTTTGTCTGACTTTTAAATCAGGTGGCCTTACCCCACTAGGAAACCTACCGGGAAATTTCCCACTATATCACACACCATTCAGCCTTAAGCATCTGTATAGATACCTTGACAAGCACTTTTCAAATCTCATTCCTGGTTTTCTTCTTCCCCACTTTTACTATCAATTCACCAATTTCCTCAATATTTACTTTTATACCATTATAATAACATATTTTTAATAAACTACCTAAAATCCTTTTGAATTTATATTCTATTGAGGTATAAAGAGAGATAAAAAAGCACTCTGAAATCCTGTAATTACTTTTACTTAATGTTGGCTGTTTTTTTTTTTTCATGTTATTTGCCTTTATTAAATTCTCAGGTTTATGTTCTAGTGTACACACTGCTTAAGTTATGAAATAACTGAGGAAATCCTATTTTAAACTGCCTCTGGTGCTTCTAAACACAATGAATAAATTTTACCCTAGGCTTACACAGAAAATGCACATTTCACCTTGGTATGGATAACCAGATGTTTGAGGGAAGAGAGGGGGATTAAAAATAGTTAATGAAAGTTCACAAAGCAGTTTTTAAAATTCCATTATTTTGCTTTCCTGCTTTGAATGGGACAGAGTGTGACACACAGCTTGCTGAATCCCAAGGTCTACCTACTGGTACCGTGTAACCATAGCTTTTCTCACTGTCCTTTAGATTCTGTTTAAAATCCTAAAGGTACTTGTTTACATTAGAAGGTGCAGGTTATTTCCTAATAGGAATGACCATTTTTTGTCATTTTTACAAGTTACTCTTATGTACAATGCTATCTTTTTAGATGGGCCACATTCGTTGTTGTGACAGAGGACCTAGTGTCAGCCATTCAAAGGGAACATTCTGCCTCCTTGGTTTCAAGCGATTTTTTTGGTAATGCTAAGTGTGGGCCAACACGGAACACTGGTTTTCCAACTTGCTCCTTTGGCTCTGTGTGGGGTGTCAGGGTGCCAAGTTTTGTGATGGCATCACATTTTTTTCACTCTGGCTTGTTTTTGTTGTTGATTCTAACTGTTGCTTTGGTTTTTGTTTGTTTGGTTTGGTCTTGCTAGGGCTTATCAAGGAACTCATCTTAGACTTGTAGCCACCTTCACCTTTTGGAAGCACTCTGGTCTAGCAGTTCTGCTGCTAATAATTTCAGGGTTTAATTAGCTGAGACACAAAAACCATTTGTCACTCAAATTCCCAGACAGTGACTTGGCAAAATGAGATCTACTAGATTTAGGGTAAAGATGAAGAGGAAAGAAAAACAAACTAGGTATCATTTCACGCTAGCTGGGTATTATGATGTGAGAACAGTAAGTATTTGACTTCTCTATTTCCAGATTTAAATTGTTAGTGTAGCTCAAGTGGAGATAAAGGAACAAGAGGGTAAATATTCTTTGAAAAATTTTCATTTCAAATTATACATACATAAAAAATGACCAGGGCAAAGATTTATTTACTTGTGCTTTATATCATATTAGCTCCTTCAACTAAAATGGTTTCCTCTTGTTATAATAAAAACATCCCAGGGGTTCTGCCTATTAGTATTTTTTCCTCCTGTACTTCTTATTTAGAAAAGGTTTTTTCTTACTAAACAAAGTGAATTTAGTAAATAATAGTTCAGCTTTCTAATCTTCTTTATTAACAATATACAAGTGCCAAATTAGAACACCTGATCAACATGAGGTGACAATAGTGTCCCAGCAAAGAGAAAGAAAGCCAATGATAGTCTTATGGTGAGTAAATGTACAATTTCCATTAGATTTTTGTCAAATATATTATACATTTTATTATACATTTTATAATACAATTATTATACATCCCTTAATGTCTCTCTGGGATCAAGGAGCCCAAATAAAGAACACTTGCAGTCAAGAGGGTAAGGAAACCATAAGAAACAGAGAATCTGGGGTCACGGAGGACCCTCCCATGGGCCTCCTCCTTTAGCATTGTCCACAAATTATCTGCAAATTTTTCACATTGTGTTACCATGTATTTTGAACGTTTCTCACTAAAACCATACTCTACCATCTACCGAGTTTCCATTCCAATATGGTCTGTTAGTTTACAACAAATGTTTCTATGACATCAATGAGCTCATTTGTGACTGGTAAACAAGAGAATTAACTCAGTGTAACACAGAATTGTTCTGGCTCCTAGGCATGTGTTCTGGAATAACAGAAGTAAAATTTTAACTCTAAGGAGTGAAGGAAAAAAAGTTCTCAATAATTTCAGCTCTATTTTTAGAGAAATAAAAGGAGTGTGTGCACCTGGGGCTCCTCCCCAGAGCAGCACACCCCAAGTTTTGCATGATTCTGCCCCAGAAAGGTTACACTTCCTCCAGTGCTCAGAGCTCCTCTTCCACCTGCTTTGCTCAACATGCAGAATCCAATATTCCTACTTGATTGTTTCTGTGCATTTTTAATATCCCCTGAGACAGCCTTCACCACAAGATGAGCTGCCTACCTGGGCTATCTAGGTTATCTCTGGAGGTGCAATTTTTATTGTTTCTGTTAGTGCTTTAGTTACAAAGATGTGCAAGTTTTGAGTTTATCCCTGATCTTATTTTTACTGTAAGCTCTTGTTCTTTTTAAATAAAATTTTTGCAGAATGCATTGTTTTTCAGGAATATTTATCTTGTGTTATAGTAGAAATCCTGTACAAATACTTAGTGGATGCTTAATAAATGCTGATAGATTATTTATAATTAATTATCACAAGAATTCAAAAAAGTGATTCCAAGGAAAGACTGTATTGAGAATGAACCTAATTACAAGAATTGAGCAAGATCATTTGGCTCTCTAGAGAACAGAATTTCTAAACATCATTTTAGTTTGCATGATACATTTATCTCTATTGTTTTAGAGAAATAGAAGCTAATTTTTCATTTTCAAGGACTGATGAACAATCATCCACGAGTTCTTGAAGTTGAGTAACAGGAAACTGTACTTGTTTTTCAAACCACTTGGCAATTGTAAGAAGCTGCTGGTCACAAAATGCACGCCCAATAAACTGCAGTCCTATTGGCAGCCCTTGGTTTGAGAGTGCTACAGGGATACTCACTGCTGGTAATCCTGCAGAAAGGAAGGAAACCCATTAGTTGATTCATTCTCTGTCCTAAAAGCAGAGACTTCTTTCCAGTGCTAGTAAGTACTTAAGACAGGATAAGATTTAAAAAACAACAAATATTATAATGCATATATGCTTTTGTACCATACTTTGTTCCCTTAACAATATATCTTGGAAATCACTGTATCAGTTCATAGAAACCTTCTTCATTCCTTTTTTATAGCTGTATAGTAACTACTCCATTGCATGGTTTTACCATAATTTATTAAACCAGTCTTCTATGGTTGGGCATTTAGGTTGTTGTCAATATTTAGCTATTTCATACAATGTCCCAGTGAATTACCTTGTGTACATGTTTTCTAGTGTTCTTGAATGTTTCTTAGATGAAGAGGGATTGTTTCATCATAAGTATGTATGTAATTAGATATTGCCAGATTCCCCTCCAAAGAAATTGTACCATTTTGAATTCCCACCAGCAAAATGAATGCTTTATTTTCTAACAGCCTTGCCAACAGAGTGTGTTGTTGAGCTTTTTGAATTTTTGCCAATCCATTAGATGAGAAATTAGCTCAGGGTAGTTTTAATTCCAGATTTGGGGCAGAGAAAGTATAAAAACCCAGAACATCTTGTTATGCCATAAAATAAAGAAGTTTTCACTAATTAATGGGAACAGTTTTAAAGGATACATACAACTTGAAGGGGCAACTATTGGCCAAATTTGGAACAATTTGAACATCAAAAACAATAATGATAGTAATTGCTTATAATACACTGCATTAAAAAAAAAAAGGAAAGCTCTTTAAATGCAGAAGGAATTATAGAATTAGAGAAGACAGAATTTTGTAAGAATTTTGTAATTCTTTAAGTAATAATTAGTTCAGGAGAGCATTGTCAATGGATGGTAAAATAATTGGGTTTAAGATTATTAAGAAATAGGATATATACATGGTCTTAAAATATCACCCTGTAAATTGCTTATAAATGATAAAAGGAAAAAAGTACTCTTATAAGGAAAACATCTGGCAGTTATCTTCTTAAACAAGTGGTCAACTTAGTTTCCAAAAGAGGAACAAACTGAATTTAACTGTTTCCTGATGTGAAGAGGATATAGTGTTTCTGCCAAACATGTTTCCCTCATCCAATCATGAGGAAACAATTTGACATTCTACAGGACAAGTGTAATGGGCTCTTCAAAAAAGTCAATGACATTTAAAAGAAAATTTTTAAAAGGTGGGGGATTTCTTATCAGAAACGATGTAGGAAAGAAGAAAGTAGCACAACATTTTTTAAGTGCTAAAGACAAGAAAACCAGAATCCTATAACCAACAAAATTACTTTTCAAAATAAAAGGGAAATCAAGATATTCTCAGGCTGGGCACAGAGGCCAAGGCCAGATAATCGCTTGAGCTCAGGAGTTAGAGACCAGCCTGAGCAAGAGCGAGACCCTGTCTCTACCAAAACCAGAAAAATTATCCGGGTGCATAGCGCATGCCTGTAGTCCCAACTACTTGGGAGGCTGAGGCAGGAGATCACTTGAGCCGAGGAATTTGAGGTTGCAGTGAGCTATGTGATGCTACTGCACTGTATTCGGATAACAGAGCGAGACTCTGTCAGACACACACAAAAATATTCTCAGAAGGAAAGCTAAGCGAATTTGTGGCCAGCAGACCTTCCCTAAAAGAATGGCTAAAGAAATTTCTCCAAACAGAAAAAAGGTGATAAAAGAGGAAGAAAGAAGGAACAGAGTAAACAAAAGTATAGGCAAATAAAATAGACTTTCCTTTTCTACTTGAGTTTTCTACATTATTTTAACTTTATTTTCTACATTATGTATAATGATTGAAACAAAAATTATAACACAGCCTGATGTGGTTCTAAGAAAAACTAAGAGAGGTGGGGTGACTATTCTAGATTTTAAAAAGATATCATAAACAGATGTCATATATTAGGGGAAAAAACAATTTATAAAAGACATTTCTGGTACAATTGAGAAAATCTGACTATAGACTATATTTGGATTATTACCAAATGAATGTCAGTTTTCTTAGGCATAATAATGAAATTGTAGTTATGTGGGAGAATTTATTCTTAGAAGATTTGTGATAAAGTGTTTAGACCCGAGTGTTATGATGTCTGAAACTTTCAAATGATTCAGCTATAAACTGTGTGTGTGTGTATGTGTGTGTGTATAGAAAGAGAGAAAAAGAGAAGAAACAAATAAGGCAAAATGTTAAAAAGAATGAATCCAGGTGAAGGCATAGTAGTATTCATCGTACTATTTTTTTAGCTCTTCTGTAGGTTTGAAAGTTTCCAAAATAAAATTAAAAAAAAAAAAACAAAACAAAACATTAAAAGTATTGGTTCAGAAAACGTGTGTATGTGGTGTGTGGTGACGGTATGCACATGTGTCCATAGGTACACACACACATAAACACATTCTTTCCTAAACATTCCAAAAGGACAGGCTATTGCTTTTAGGGAACAATCTAGCTAGAACTTAAGTTGAAGACAAGGCTACCTGCCTAAGATTTTGAACAAAACCAAAATATTGTTGAGGTATCCTTACCTGCCATATTTACTGCCTGTGTGAAAATATCATCCTGGGCACTTCGTGTTCTGTTGTCTTCTTGGATGAACTCCAAGTAGGGTACTGCTTCACTCAAGGTGGTGGGAGTTAGCAAGACATCTACTCCAGAGTTAAAAACATTCATAAAGTCATTAGCAATGAGGCGTCTCACTTTCTGGGCTTTGATGAAATAATTCTCATAGTTTCTATGGGGAAAAAATGGATGATATTTTAAGCACGTTTTGCATTTTTCCTTGAATCAATTGTCTTGCATTAGGCTTGATAAAGAATCACTGAATTCTTCAGCAGGCATCACTAAGATTTCTAACAACACATAAAAATGAATTCTGGTCAACTGTATTGTTATACTAGTTTGTATATCTAGAATCTAATCAATCAGAATTCACTATTAGATGCAACTGTACATACATAATCACAAAACAATAATTCCAGGGATATCACTAACTCAGAACATTCATTTTCAGGTGAAGAAAATAAAGTGCATAGCAATTAAATGACTTTCTAAAGGTTACAAAGTTAGTGGTACAATAGGTTAGAATTTTCTGTTATAATGACTTACTTCATCTTTAATATAATAACTATTAAAAGGACTCTCAGGTTTTGCAAAATTCTAACATGCCATTTGAATTAGACACTAGGAAACACTCCTAGAAAATAGGTTCTGAAAACAGAAGCTGGGGAAAGTATGCAGTGTTTGAATTTTGTATTTTATACATAGGCATAGCCCAGGAGTGGAAATGTGAAGTTTAAGAAAGAATGTTTATTTTACCAAAAAGATTAAGGAAAAAGCCAGGAATAGTAGTGATCGTAAATCAATGATCTAAAGAAACGGAAAAAGAAAAGTTTTTAGATCCTTCTGAAGCTGTTAAGAAAGATTAGAAAAAAGAACTAACTGTTCTAAACCTCAATTTCCTCAACTGTAAAAATGGATATAACAACTCCAGTTCTAATGAGGGCCAAATAAAATAAGATAAAAATGTAAAATCTTTTTTTTTTTTTTACTGTAAAAGAGTATTATAAAAATATCAGATATCCTTACTGTCATTTGACTACAGGGTCTACAGAGAGATAAATGCATGTATCATACATAATTTATGCAACAACAATAAATTGTGTGGTAGCTTAAACAGTTGGTACCAAACAATTGGTAGCTTAAATACTACATTAACAGCATTCTCAAACCCTAAATTTTATAAAAGAACAAATATAGGCCGGGCACGGTGGCTCACGCCTGTAATCCTAGCATTCTGGGAGGCTGAGGCGGGAGGATTGCTCGAGCTCAGGAGTTCCAAACCAGCCTGAGCAAGAGCGAGACCCCGTCTCTACTACAAATAGAAAGAAATTAATTGGTCAACTAATATATATAGAAAAAAATTAGCTGGGCATGGTGGCGCATGCCTGTAGTCCCAGCTACTCTGGAGGCTGAGGCAGCAGGATTGCTTGAGCCCAGGAGTTTGAGGTTGCTGTGAGCTAGGCTGACGCTACAGCACTCACTCTAGCCTGGTCAACAAAGCAAGACTCTGTCTCAAAAATAAATAAATAAATAAAAATAAAAGAACCAATACTTGTTTTCTATTAAATTTCTTCCTACTATATGGTTCAAAAGCAGAACTTCTGCTTCATCCATATGGAGTAATAGGGATGGTATTTACCCTGTGCTGTGGTTTGAATGTTCCCTCCAAGACTCATGTTGAAATTTAAGTGCCATTATAATAGTATTAAGAAGAGGGACCCTTAAGAGGTGATTAGGCTATGATGGCTACACCCTCATCAGTGGGATTGGTATTTTTATAAAAGGGCCAGTTTGTCTCTCTCTTGTCCTTCTGCTTTCCACCATGGGATGATCCAGAAAGCCCTTACCAGATGCTGGCCTTTTACTCTTGGATTCCCACCTTCCTGAACTATGAACCGATAAATTTCTGTTCACTATAAATTAGCCAGTCTCAGGCATTCTGGTATAGCAGCAAAAATGAAGATACCCTGCCTTCTTAAACAACTAGAAAACTGGAAAAATATACAAAACAACATCAAACAACAGGCATTCTGGAGAAAAAGTTCCGAGAGATGGAAAGCAAATGAGGTAATCTATTGATTTTCCCAGATTAATGCATGGAGGCAGTTTTCAGGCCTCATTCCAGAGAGAAGGGACTTAAATGGGTTGGGGTGGGTGTTCACTAAGTTAGAGAGACAGAGATCTGAAGTTCAGGGAGGGTAAGGACAGCTACAATTTGCAAAGCAGAGTACTGAATAAGAGAGTAGCACATAGACAGAGCTCAAGAGATCTGCAGAGATCCCTTGAGTCTTCAGCTGAGTACTGATCTATATGTGGGTAAGAAGAAACTTCCAAGGCTGGGGAAAGAATCACCAAAAAGTAGTAGGCCAAATAATTTCTAGAGCTCATAGAGGGTTAGAAATATTATGTTTGTGTTCCCAACAGCCAAAGCGGAAAGACCTCATAATATGTGGGGCATCCGGTAAAAATTTTCAAGGATATCACCTTAAACTAAGGCTAAATTGGCCCTAGACTAAAGGGTGCTTTGGGCTTATCCTAACAAAGCTTAAAAGGAAGACTTAAAAGGATGCAATATATTCCAAGTAACTTAATTGTGTCCCAGAACAAATCTCAACACTGTTTAAGGGAATAAAACAAAAATCCAGCAAGTAACTGAAATTCACAATGTCCAGGCATGTAAAGAAGCAGAAACTATGACCCATATCTGGGGTGGGGGTGGGAAAGCAATTAATATAAACAGATCCACAAATGTTGGAATTAGCAGATAAGAACATTAAAACAGCTACTATAAATATGCTTTATATGTTCAAGAAGGTAGAGGAAAATATAACATGATAAAGGAACTAAAAGGGATAAGAAAACCTAAGCAGAATTTTTAGAGGCAAAAAATATATAGACTAAATAATAAACTGGAGAGAACTGGTACAAAGAAAAAAGACCCGTGATACTGAAAATAGTGATAGAAACTATCCAAAGGGATGCACAGAGAGAAAAAAGATTGGAAAAACAGGAAGAAGGAAGAAGAAACGAGAAAAAAAGGAATGGAATATCAGGGAGCTGTGGGATTACATGAAGCAGATTAACATACGTATAAATGGTATCTCAGAAGGATGGGGAAGGACAGAAAAAACATTTGAAGAAATAATTACCAAAATTTTTCCAAATTTGATTAAAAAACTATAATCCCATAGATCAAAGAAGCTCAACAAACCCCTAAGGAAAAGAAATATGCAGAAAGCCACATCAAGGCACATCACTGTTAAATTCCTGAAAACCAATGATAAAAAGAAAATCTTAAAGTCAGCCAAAGGGAAAAATGACACATTATATAGAGGAATGAAGATAAGACTGACAGAAACTATGCAAGCCAGAAGAAAATGAAACAACACCCTTAAAGTACTGAAAGAAAAAAACTATTAATATATACTTTTATATCTAGAGAAAGTATCTTTTAAAATTAAAGGCAAAATAAAGACTTTACATATAAACAAAAGTGGAAAGCATTCATTGCTAGCAGGATTATACTAAAATATTAAAGGAAGTTCTTCAGGCCAAAATATCAGATAGAAATTTAGATCTATATGACAGTGTGAAAAGCACCAGAAACTGTAAATATGTAGGTAAACATAAATGATTTTTTTCTCTTTTTAAGAGGAAAATTATTTAAAGAAAAAAATGAAAGCAAAAAAAGCCTAAAATAAAGAACAGATGGGACAAATAAAAGACAAATGGCAAAAGTTAGATTAAAATGTGGTTCAAAAGTAAATTATTTATGTCAATTAAAAATAAACTCTGGATTCCAAATTCAATAAATTTGTGTTTATTAAATACAAGATAAGGGAAGGATAAAAATCCTATAGTCAAGTATCATATGAATGAAACATGTTAGAAGTGTTTATAGTTCCTGGCACTTAAGTTGACTTTTTAAGATAAAAAAAATAAGTACTCCAAATCTTATTTTTCCTATCACTCATGTCTACCCCATTAAACTTAAACAAACAAGCAAGCAAGCAACTCCCCCCACTCCCAAAACAAGTCGACCCTAGTTGTAACTAACTCAGAAGCTAGGGATACCAGCAGTAATTCTCATTTCCTTTGATTGGTATCCCCAGCTGGTGACCATGGAAGATGCTTTCAGATTCCTCTCCCTCAATTTCTTTTTATGCTGTTACGATGACCTATATAATCCATCAGCTTATGCCCTGAGATATATAATATGATTGTAATCAGTAATATTTGGCAAATGTAACATCTTTACCTTAATAAAAGTTTTTGTCTAGAAAACTTTTAAGCAATATTTTCTTTTCTTTTCCTACTCCAAAGTTATTACAAGCATCTGGTAAAGATGGATAAGAGTCTTTTAATATGGAACATAATCAAATAGTATGTTTAGAAAAAGTAATCCTAGCTATTGGCCATGAGAGGATGCACAGATGCCCTTGAGGGCATGGAGAAAAACTCTAGGAAGCTACTCATTACAATATCCAATCTTACTTTTTCACACTTCTCATGTCCTCTTAGACAGACTTGGTGGTATGGAAGACAAATATGATTCACAAGATTGTGAATAAACTTATAATAAAGACAATCTAAGTAGGAGTCACAGTAATTTCAAATTATGTCTTAGAACAAATAGATACATAATACAAGGAAAAACTAAATTGCTTCACTAAATTTTCAAGAGACAATAATATAATTCCCTGCTTAAGGCTCTTACATCAATGAGCCAATGTGGCAATAATGGCCAGGGAACATTTAATGAGGCTAAAATCCTTAAGGACTTCCTACTTTCAGTCGTTTCTCGTTATCTGTGGGAGATTGGTTCCAAGAATAACCATGGATACGAAAATCCGGGTATGCTCAAATCCCTTATATAATATGTTTGCATATAACCTATGCAAATCCCCTTGTATACTTTAAATTACTTCTAGATTACTTATAACACCTAAAAACAAAACAAAACAAAACAAAACCAACAAAAAAAGGAAATGCTATGTAAATAGTTGTTATTCTTTTAAAAAATTTTTATATTTTTTTTTTTGAGACAGAATCTCACTGTGTTGCCTGGGCTAGAGTGCTGTGGTATCAGCTTAGCTCACAGCAACCTCAAACTCCTGGGCTCAAGCAATCCTTCCACCTCAGCCTCCTGAGTAGCTGGGACTAGAGACGGCGTCTCACTCTTGCTCAGGCTGGTTTGGAACGCCTGACCTTGAGCGATCTTCCCGCCTCAGCCTCCCAGAGTGCTAGGATTACAGGCATGAGCCACCATGCCCAGCTTCTATCATTTTTTATTTGTTGTATTATTATTATTTTATTTTATTTTTTGAATATTTTTGATTCATGGTTGAACTGAAATTTTGCAAATGCAGAACCTATGGATCCAGAGGGCTGACTGTAGTTTGTAGCTAGAGTGTCAATTTTTTTTTGTTTTGTTTTTGAATACCAGGAACCAAAAGTACCATAAACAGGTCTTTTCTAATTAAAATAATAAAGACTCTGTCTCTTTAGTAAATACCTTGACTTATAAGACCTGACAGACAACGCTACTACTTTACCTCTTGAGGTTTCAAGAATAGAGAAAATTCCTAATCTAATTGACTTACTCTTTTAATAAGAAAAAATTTCCTGAGAGAATTCTTCCTCTCACCACATCATTGAACCCTTCTCGTCTAGTTGCAGCATACATGGCTTCAGTAGACACATCAATTTCACATCTGTGACCTGAAAACAAAGAGATAACCATTACTGGAAAAGGAAATAAAGTTTTGGCTAAAACTAGGCCTTGATTCACATTTTTGTGACCAATACTAAAATTTAGGAAGCTTTACCTTGATGGTTCCTTTTTGCTACCTGCCTTATGACTGACTGACCCGTCATGGAGAGAGAAGAAAATAACCAAGAAAGAAACTTTATTTGTTTACTCCCTCATTCATTCATTCAAACATTTATTGAGCTCCTTCCCTGTGCCAGGTACTCCATTAGCTGGACTGAGCATACAAATGTAAGATACCATCCTTTCAAGAAAGTCACAGTCCAGAGAAGCAAACTGAATATAGAGATATTTATGATGAATGACAAAGGTAAAATGATTCACTGATTTACTTTGCTGAATCATTAACATTATCTCAGGTAATAATTTTTTTGTCACTAATAAGTGAAACTTTCAAATGTTTGAGACAACTACCTTAAAAATCCAGAGAACCCGCCATCTTACCATATTCTAGCCCATCAAATCTTGCCATATTCGATGCCACTTCTGATGTGCACAATGTACGCGGGTGGGTAGGCAGACGAATGGAATAACTTGTGTGGGGAAGGGATACATCAATTACTTTGGCTCCCTCAGACTCAAAGAGGTCAGCGGCATTGGACCAAAGAGATCGTACTTCACTTGATAATTCTGGTACAAGATATTCCTTATAGAAAAAGTCAAGATACAGAAATTGGAACATCTGTATATATGGTTTATAAAAATTTGTACTCTAAGACCTGTTTGTAATACATTAGAAAATATGATAAAATTGCTGGTAGGTAGCCAGAAAGATTGAACCCATTTAAGAGTGTTTATGGTATGACAAACATAGTACTAGATATTGTGATCTAGATATAACAACATAAAAGATGAGAGATCTGATGTGGGGAACATATTTGTTAAATGTACATTATGTATCAGATACTATGGCTAGATGTTTTTCAAAGGTTCTCTCATTTAATGCTTTTAAAAAGCCCAGGATTCTTGGGAGGCCGAGGCGGGCGGATTGCCAAGGTCAGGAGTTCAAAACCAGCCTGAGCAAGGAGGAGACCCGTCTCTACTATAAATAGAAAGAAATTAATTGGCCAACTGATATATATATAAAAAATTAGCCGGCATGGTGGCGCATGCCTGTAGTCCCAGCTACTCGGGAGGCTGAGGCAGAAGGATCACTCAAGCCCAGCAGTTTGAGGTGCTGTGAGCTAGGCTGACGCCACGGCACTCACTCTAGCCTGGACAACAAAGTGAGACTCTGTCTCAAAAAAAAAAAAAAAAAAAAAAAAACGCCCAGGATGTAGGGTATTATCATCCTTTATCTTATTAATGAAAAATATTCAGATGAGAGGTAACTTTCCTAATATTACACAGCCTGGGAAGTAGAAGATTTGGATTCCAAACTAGGTCCGGTTTTAAAACTTGTTTCTCTATATCTTAAAAAGTACAGGGAATTTTACCTTAATGAAATTTTAAAGAAGTAGTATTTCTCTACTGCAGTCGTCTCACCTTCAGCAGTGGTCTCACCTGGAGGTGATTTGTCTCTTTGTCCCAACCAGGGCACATTTGGCAATATTTGTAGACATTTTTGGTTATGGGGTTGTGGTGACGGTAGGGGTGCTACTGGCATTCAGGTGTAGAGGCCAGGGAGGCTACTAAACATCTTACAACCCACAGGACAGTCTACTACCACAAACAATTATCCAATCCCAAAGACCAATAGCACTGAGGTTGAAAAATCTCATTATTCTGCAAGGTAACTTATTTTCTGAAAGATTTTTAAAATGTTTAAAGCATTAATATATTGCTAAGTTTAATATTTTTAAAAGGTCAGTAATCCAACATGATTACATTCATGTATGAATTATTCAACGCTACAGTAATATGTGTTATAGTGGCAGTAATAATAAGGATGATAACATTTACTGAGGTCTTACTATGCAAGGTAACGGATTGGGCTAAGTTCTTTACATAAAGAATTGGCAAACTATGGCCTATGGGCCTGATGTAACCAGCCACCTTTCCTTGAAAATAAACTTTTATTAGAACACAGACACACTCGTTTGTTTACATATTGTCTAAGGCTGTTTTCTCACTATAATGGCAGAGTTAAGTAGTTATAATAAAGACTGCATGGTCACAAAATCTAAATATTTACTATCTGACCTTTACAGAAAAAGTTTACAGACCCTTGCTTAACATGACTAATACCTCGCAAATCCCTGAGGTCAATATTTTTATTATCCTCACTTTACAGATAGGGAAATTGAGCTTAGAGAGATTAAGTCACATACTCAAGTCACATGGCTAATAAAAGTGGCAGAGCAGGGATTCAAACCCAATCATTCTGCCTTCCAAGTCTATGCTATTTAACTAAACATATTCTGTTAAGTCATGAAAGGAAGAATTTACCTTTGGAATTCCTATACATAGTTTGCTCACATCTGTCAAACTGGGAAGCATGAATGGTTTAACAGGATCTTGTACTGTGGTAGAATCTTTGGGGTCATGTCCAGCCAGTATACCTGTAAGGAGAAATACTTATGAGTGACAGACATTGTTTTACAGTGAAATTATTTCAAACAATATAGAATCATAAAAATACCCAACACAATTGCTGCATCATCCACATATCTGGTTAAGATTCCTGGCACGTCCATTGAATTCACCAGAGGAATGAGACCATGACGAGAAACTAAGCCATAGCTTGGTTTGACACCAACAAGTCCACAATGGGCAGCAGGATTTCTGGTCGATCCTCCTGTATCTGATCCTAAAGCCCTGGAATTTAAATGGAATTATCTTTAGAAGAATGACATATCTCTAATTATATTTGAAATCTACCCTTTTAAATGTATATTTTTAAATGTTATTTTCCCCTGATTATACAAAAGTAACACATGCTCATCTTAGAGAATTCATAAAGTACAGAAAAGTGTAAAGAGATAATCCAATATTCCATTACCCATAGGCAAAATCTGTTAACATTTTGGCATATTGACTTCAAATCTTTTTTAAAATGCATTTTTCTTTCATAGTTGAGATCCTTCTATAATCATAAATTTCCATCCCTTTTTTGCTTATTATGAGTCTTTCATTATGTCATTAAAATTACTGAAAGTATAAACTATATATAACATTCCATCAAATTAATTAGTGATTCTCCCTATTTTAAAGTCTTTTTCCCTATCAATATACATACAAATCTTACACTTCCCTGTTATTTGATATTTAAAATAAATCATGTAGGCCGGACGCGGTGGCTCACGCCTGTAATCCTAGCTCTTGGGAGGCCGAGGCGGGCGGATTGCTCAAGGTCAGGAGTTCAAAACCAGCCTGAGCAAGAGCAAAGACCGTCTCTACTATAATTAGAAAGAAATTAATTGGAAAACTGATATATATATAAAAAATTAGCCGGGCATGGTGGCGCATGCCTGTAGTCCCAGCTACTCGGGAGGCTGAGGCAAGGGGATCGCTTGAGCCCAGGAGTTTGAGGTTGCTGTGAGCTAGGCTGACGCCATGGCAATCACTCTAGCCTGGGCAACAAAGCGAGACTCTGTCTCAAAAAAAAAATAAAATAAAATAAAAATAAATCATGTTAATGGCAATTTTATAGTATACTTTTATAAACTAAACATACCCCAGAAATTCAGATATGGCCCTTTTGCTACCCCATTTAGAATCATAGAGTTGTACAATAATTAAACATTTATGTTGTTTTCAACTAGATTAACTGTATAATAAATAACTTTGTTACAAAACCTTTAAACATAAATATTTGTCTATATGTCTGAATACTTTTTAGGCTACCTTCCAAGAAGTAGAGTTAATGGGCGTAAAGGTCTGCCTATTATTATAAGTTCTTGATATAGTAAAAATCACTTGTCAGAAAGATTATGCCAATTTATATTCCTAATTGCAGGAAATCAGATTGTATCTTTTTTTTTTTGAGATAGAGTCTCACTTTGTTGCCCAGGCTAGAGTGAGTGCTGTGCCATCAGCCTAGCTCAAAGCAACCTCAAGCAATCCTGGGCTCAAGCAATCCTTCTGCCTCAGCCTCCAGAGTAGCTGGGACTACAGGCATGTGCCACCATGCCCACTAATTTTTCTATATATATTAGTTGCCAATTAATTTCTTTCTATTTGTAGTAGAGACGGGGTCTCGCTCTTGCTCAGGCTGGTTTGGAACTCCTGAGCTCGAGCAATCCTCCCGCCTCGGCCTCCCAGAGTGCTAGGATTACAGGCGTGAGCCACTGTGCCCGGCCTCCAGATTGTATCTTAATGTTTCAGTATCATCACTGATTACTATCAGTTTTTAAACATTTGTGGCAAATTTGATAATCAAAAAGTTTTGTTTATGTGCATTTCAGAACAATTTTCCACATTTATTAATATTTGTATTTGTATTACCCAACTATGAAGTGACTGTTCATTTCTTTACTCAGTTGCCTACAGAGTTTGTGTTGTTCTTATTTAAAAAAAACCCAAAACCCAAAAACTAACCTAGAGGACATTATGCTAAATGAAATAAGCCAGTCACAAAAATACAAATACTATATGATGCCACTTACATGAGGTACCAAGAGTAGTCAAATTCATAGAGACAGAAAGTAGGGTAGTTACAGGGCTAAGAGAAGGGTTAGTAGGTACAGAGTTTCACTTTTGCAAGATGAAAAGAGCTCTGGAGATTGCACAACAATGTACTTAACAATTCTGAACTGTACACTTAAAAATGCCTTAGATAGTAAATTTTATATTATGTATATGTTACCACAATTAAAAAAACTCTCTTGATGCAATTGCCATCAAACTATCAATGACATTCTGTTTTTTTTTTTTTTTTTTTTTGAGACAGAGTCTCGCTTTGTTGCCCAGGCTAGAGTGAGTGCTGTGGCGTCAGCCTAGCTCACAGCAACCTCAAACTCCTGGGCTCAAGCAATCCTGCTGCCTCAGCCTCCCGAGTAGCTGGGACTACAGGTATGCGCCACCATGCCCAGCTAATTTTTTTCTCTATATATTAGTTGGCCAATTAATTTCTTTCTATTTGTAGTAGAGACAGGGTCTCGCTCTTGCTCAGGCTGGTTTCAAACTTGTGACCTTGAGCAATCTGCCCACCTCGGCCTCCCAGAGTGCTACGATACCAGGTGTGAGCCACCGCGCCTGGCCGACATTCTTTACAAAAATAGAAAAAAATAATCTTAAAATTTATATGGAACCACCAAAGACCCAAATCCATTCTGAGCAAAAAGAACACAACTGGAGGAATCACCTGACTTCAAATTATACTACAGAGCCAGTAGAAATCAAAACAGCATGGTACTGGCATTAAAAACAGATGCATAGACCAATGGAACAGAATAGAGAACACAAAGGAATCCACACATCTATAGTGAACTTAATTTCTACATAAGTACCAAGAACACATGTTGGGGAATGAGCAGTCTCTTTAATAAATGATGCTGGGAAAACTGGATATCCATATGCAGAAGAATGAAACTTAGATCCTTCTCTCTTGCCACACACAAAAATAAAATCAAAATGGATTAAAGACTTAAATCTAAGACCTGAAACTATGAAATTACTAAAAGAAAACATTGGCATACCCCTAAAACATACCCCAAAGCACAGGCAACCAAAGCAAAATTGGAAAAATGGGATCATTATCAAGCTGAAAAGCTTCTGCACAGCAAAGGAAACAATCAATAAAGGGAAGAGACAACCCACAGAAATGGGAGAAAATATTTGCAAACTATCCATCTGACAAGGGGTCAATTACTAGAATATATAAGGAGACCTAACAATAGGAAAAAATAAAATAATCTGATTAAAAATAGGCAAAAGATCTATATAGACATTTCTCAAAGGAAGACATACAAATGGCCCATAGGTATATGAAAAAATGCTCAACATCATTAGTCATCAGATAAATGCAAGTCAATACTACAATGACATTTCATCTCATCCCAGTTAAAATGGCTTTCATCAAAAGGCAATAACAAATGCTGGTGTGGATGTGGAGAAAGGGGAACCCTCATACACTGTTGGCGGGAATGTAAATTAGTGCAACCACTATGGAGAACAGTACGGAGGTTCCTCAAAAAACTATAAAAATAGAGCTACTATATAACCTAGCAATTGTACTGCTAGGTATATATCCAAAAGAAAGGAAATCAGTATATTGAAAAGATATCTGCATGCCCATGTTCATGCAGTACTATTCAGAATAGTCAAGATTTGGAATCAACCTAAGTGTCCATTAGTGGGTGAATGGATAAAGAGATTGTGATATATATATATAAACAATGAAATATTATATAGCCATAAAGAATGAAATCCTGCCACTTGCAACAACATGGAAGGAACTGGCAAACATTATGTTAAATGAAATAAGCCAAGCACAAAAAGACAAATTTCACATGTTCTCACTCATGTTTCAGAGCTAAATATTAAAACAACTGATTTCATGGAGACAGAGAGTAGAATCATGGTTACCAGAGGCTGGGAAGGGTAGTGGGGAAGGGAGTCAAAGTGGGGATAACTAATGTGTACAAGAATATAGTTAGAATGAACAAAATTTGATAGCATAATCAAGTGACTATAGTCAACAACAAGTTATGGTATACTTTAAAATAAGGCTCTACATAAAATGCAAATGAGATTTCCTTTCTTACCATGTCCATTTAAGCTACAAAATCAGACTATTGCTTTCACAATTTTAAAAGATACATTTTCTTATTAGCATTCACTGGCAGCTGTGTAAAAGTAAAACTTACATTTCCACAGGAATTATGTGTCAAAATGCCATCTTCTCAAAGCACGTTCAGAAAGATGAACACTAAGTGGGATGATGAGGATAGAAAAAAGGCACCTAATCCTGCAGTCCTAACTTGTCAGAACTCTCATTAATATTAATGCAATGCTATAAAATTCCACAGAGATAAAATGAAATGGTTTTACTTGTTAATAAGATTTCAGGAAAATGGAAAAAAAATCTGTAGAATTTAAATCTCCATAGTTCTAAAAAATATAAAAATTTATTGGTTGCAATATGTGCATGAAAGAGCTTAGTTTTAGTGGATAATTAAGGAGAGATAAAATACACACAGTATTACTAAAGAAACACATTCAATTTGGTTGAATTGAGACTGATAAAATAAATACAATAACAACCATATTTACTTACTTTTCTTTAGATGGTTAAGAAATGCTCCGCAAATAGGTTTTAAAGTATGATCAATGGATTCTTACCAAATACAAAGTACGATAGATAAACAGAATCAGTTCCTAACAAGGAAAAGATTTTACTTACTGACATACATTTTTTAGTTGCAGATTTATGAAAACATTATATATCCTATTGACACATATTAAGAGCATTTTTCCTTTTCTTTTTTTTGTAAAAATCAGATTTAGCTGAAGGATAAAGCATTACTAACAGTTTAGCACTCAACTAAAGCCATCGTATGTTTAGTCCCTAAATATTTTATACTCAGTGAGCAAAAAACAAATTATTTTAAAAATGAAATTCAGGCCGGGCGCTGTGGCTCACGCCTGTAATCCTAGCTCTTGGGAGGCCGAGGCGGGTGGATTGCTCAAGGTCAGGAGTTCAAAACCAGCCTGAGACCCCGTCTCTACTATAAAAACAGAAAGAAATTAATTGGCCAACTGATATATATATAGAAAAAATTAGCCGGGCATAGTGGCACATGCCTGTAGTCCCAGCTACTCGGGAGGCTAAGGCAGAAGGATCACTCGAGCCCAGGAGTTTGAGGTTGCTGTGAGCTAGGCTGACGCCACGGCACTCACTCTAGCCTGGACAACAAAAAAAAAAAAAAAAAAAAAAATGAAATTCAATGAAGTCCATTTATACTCAATGCTTTATTCTGCAAGATCTATAAAACCATGTTTTTAAGAGATCCAGATGTTATAGAGGAAAAGTTTATTATCTTATGGTTAAATGTGTAAAATACATGTAGTGTACTGTATAGCTGAGTGTACTTATATGATATAGTTGTGATATACATTTGAGCACAAATAGCTCAGTAGAAAGAAATAAAAATACCAAGGTGTGCACTAACCTATTGTTGGATTTTGCATATAGCTTATGACTGTTTGTATTTGGATAGGTTTTAAAGTACATATAAAGTATCTTACGCAAAGCAAGTGAATGCTGATACAGCAGCTGCGCTCCCACCTGAGCTTCCTCCAGTTATTAGCCAATTTGAATCTTCCTTCTCACCATGTGGCTCCTGCTTCCTCCTCTTTTCTCTATATTGTTTTGAATAACTCCAGGGGTTTTTAACTGGTCCAAATACACCATCTGTGGTTCCAGAGCTGAGATGGAAAAGCGAAGCAAGATACTTTAGTAAAACTTTCATTTTATGTGAAAATTTCATCTTCTGAGTCTCTTATTTGCTTCTGACATTCACTGAGCTTTTAATAATCCACTGTAGTAGGAATTGGAAAAGGTAGGAAGTCTGCTCAGATGTAGCTTTCATTAATTACATGGTTGAGGAGGATGGGAAGGAAGAGCATTTGTGGTTGAAAGTAGACAAAACTAGTCTGCTAAGAAGTCAAATGAAGATGATTTCCTTTATGAATTAAGGTCTTCCTGTTGAATAGGGTCATATTCAAATAGTTACGAAGTCTTTTGAGGGAATCCCTCCCTTAATCAGAAGTTCTAAGAAAAGCACTACAAATGGAATGCTAATAATTTATTTTTAAACTTTTAAAATCATTTTATTCTCAGATAAAATGCAAAAATAAAAATAACATGTCAAACACTTTATATACTTTACCCAGATGTACCTATTGTTAACATTTTATCCCATTTGCTTTATAACTTCCACGCTGTGTGTTTGTATATATGTGCGTATACACACTTTTCTGAGCCATTTAAGGGTAAGTTATTAATATTAATATACGTATGACCCTTTACCTATAAATACTTTAGTATGTATTTCCTAAGAATAAGGACAATCTGTTACATAGTCACAGTAGAGAAACCAATCTCAGTAAAATTAACATCAATACAATACTTTAATCTACTGTATGTAATCTAATTTTTGAAGCTGATCCAATAATGTACTTTGTAGCATTTTATCCCTATCTCAGATCTGGATGATATAGAGTCAGGCATTGTTAGTTATTATTGTCTCTTTAGCCTCTTTTCTTTTTTTTTAATCCTTTACTAGCCAATAGACATTGGGTTATTTTCAGTTTTGGGGCAATTATGAATAATGCCACTATAAATGTTGCACTGAAAGGTCCTAACGCCAGTGCTTTCGTGTAAACATAAGTCTTCACCTCTTAGATAAATACCTAGTACTGAGACTGTTGGGTCATATGGTTAACTGTATGTTTACGTTTATAAGAAACTGACAAACTATTTTCCAAAATGGCTATACCATTTTGCATTCCCTACCAGTAGTGTCTAAGAAATCCGATTGCTCTGAACCCTTGTCGGTACTGGATATTTTCATTTTTATTATGCCATGCTAATATAGGTATATAAATCTCATTCTGGTTTTAATTTATATTTTCCTAGTGACTAATGATATTAAACATTTTTTCATGTATTTATTTGTTAACTATATATCGTCTTTGACAAAATATCTACATAAATCTTTTGCCCATTAAAAAAATTGAATTGCTTATTTTCTTATTGAGTTGGGAAAGGTTCTATATATTTTAGATACCAGTTCTTTTTCAGATATATGTTTTGCAAATATTTTTCTCTCAGTCTGTAGCTTGCTTTTTCACTTTTTAGTACTAGCATATTTCAAAGTACAGAAGTTCTTAATTTTAATGAAGTCCAATCTATTGATTTTTTTTTTGTATGGATTTATGCTTGACATGTTCTAAGAAATCTTTGTCTAATTCAAGGTCATAAAGATTTTTCCCTAAATTTTCTTCTCTAAGTTTTATAGTTTTAGGTTTTATTTTCTTTAGACTCTTAATCTGGAAGATTTTCATAGCCTTTTATTGTTTTTATGATATGGTATTTTAAACCAACGCTTCTCATTTTGGATTTGTCTTTTATTATTAGATTCAGGTTACACATTCTCAGTAGGATTATTACATAGGTGATGCTGTGTCCTTAGAAAATCACATCTGCAGGCATACAAAGTCCACTTGACCCTCACTGGTGATGTTCATTGATCAAGTGATGAAGACAATGTCTTAAAAACCTTTGAGTTTACTACTATGGATTAGTTCATCCAATGCAGGCATCCTCAAACTACCACCCCGTGGGCTACATGCGGCCCGCCAAGGACATTTATCTGGCCCGCCGGGTGTTTTTGCCGCTGCTGCCTGTCCTGCTTAGCAGCTGACTTGTCCTGGGCCCACAGTGCGCATGTGTGGAATGTGCGACACACTCTCCAATGGTGTGAGGGATAGTGAACTGGCCCCCGTTAAAAATGTTTGAGGACCCCTGGAAGGGGTCAATATAGAAAAATCAATAATATGTACTAGTAATAAACAATTAGAAATTGAAAAAAATATCATTTTCTATAACATCAAGAAACGTAAAACACTTGGGGAAAAATAAAAATTATGTGTAAGATTTATATGCAGAAAATCATAATGAAATTACTGAGAAAAATTAAGTAAAATCTCACTAAATAGAAATACAGGGTGTTCATGAATTAGAAGACCCATATTAAGATGCTAATTCTTTCCGAGTTAATCTATAAATTTAACACAATCACAATCCTGTCAAATTTCTTTGCAGAAATTTGCAAACTGATTCTAAAACAAATGAAAATACAGAGGGCTTAGATTATGTAAAATGATTTTGAAAAAAGAAGAACAAAGTTGGAAGACTCTCACCACATAATTTCAAGGCTTATATAAAGTTATAATAATCAATATGGCATAATACTGGAGTAAACAGAGATAGAACAGAGTCCAGAAATAGACCTACACATTTGTTTGATTTTTGACAAAGAAATAAAGTAATTTAATGAGAAAGGATAATTTTTTACCAATACTGCTGGAATTACTGGACATCTATATGTGAAAAAAATGAACTTAATTCATCATATATAAAATATTAACCCAAAATGGATTACAGGTTTAAATGTAAGAACTAAAACAATAAAACTTGTAAGAGATAATCTTTGTGACCAAAGACTTCTTAGGACACATAAGTATGAATCATAAAAGAAAAACAATTGATAAGCTCCAGTTTACCAAATGGACTTCATCAAAAATAAGAGCTTTTTTTTTTTTTTTCTGAGACATAGTTTGGTTCTGTCACCCTTGGTAGAGTGCAGTGGTGTCATCATAGCTCACTGCAACCTCAAGTTCCTGGGCTTAAGAGATCATCCTGTCTCAGCCTCCTGAGTAGCTGGGGCTACAGGTGCATGCCACAATGCCCAGCTAATTTTTCTGTTTTGTTTCATAGAGATGGAACCTCACTCTTGTTCAAGCTGGTCTTGAACTCCTGAGCTTAAGCAGTCCTCCTGTCTCAGCCTCCCAGAGTGCTAGCATTATAGGTGTGAGCCATCGTGCCCTACCAAAAATTAAGAGCTTTTACTTGTTGAAAGGCATGTTCAGAGAATGAAAAGATAAGCCAGAGACTTGGAGAAAATATTTGCAAATCACCTATCTGATAATGACTTGAATCTAGAATATATGAAAAAACTCTTACAACTCTATAAAAAGATGACCCAATTAGAAAAATGGGCAAAAAATTTGAATGGATAATTCACTGAAGATATTTAGATGGCAAAATAAACACATGAAAAGGTGTTTAACATCACTTGTCATTAGGGAAATGCAAACTAAAGCCAAAATGAGATATGACTACATATCTATTAGAGAACTGAACATAATCTCACAGAGGGACTAAGAAACTGGCATCAGAATCCCCAAGAAATCACCTCACTACTTTTAGGTACCTACAGTTAGTGAAATTAAAGATATAGATGGAAGAAATGAAAGAGAAGAAAATTTCAATTTTACTTACCCCATAGCAAACTCATCTAAATTCGTTTTCCCCATTAGTAGAGCTCCCTGATCCAACAACTTCTGAACTACTGTAGCATTATAAGGTGGTACATAACCTGGAAAAAATTTAGTTATTTTTATGATAGGAGAAAAAACAGTAAACATGTAAATCATATGCAGGAAACAAAATTTTAAACTGCAATGAAGCAATTCATATTGACATGTATTAATTATTCCTAATTTAAATAGTAGGTTGCACTTTATTCCAAGAGTTAGTTTTCTATTGCTAGCTGTATATAGTTTTCCAAAGATAGTCTGTATTTTTATAATCTAACATATTGACTTAAAACAGCTAATTCTACAAAATACTGCATGATAGAGATGTACCCAATTCATTTGAAACTAATTGCAAATTGTTATTTTGTTCCTTGTACTTGACTTTTTCTTCTCAATGTTATACCTCACAGTAATTTTTATGTACTTCTGGTTAGAAACAGATCTTTATTCTCAATTAAAATTTCCTATTGAAATAGCTATTAATTAATATTTAAATATTAAATATTAAGGCTATTAAATAGCTATTGAAAGGCTCTAGTGTATATTCCAAAACAATTAACAATGGTCTACCTATTAGAGCAATGTGGGGCATATTCCTCATGGAATATTACTTCTAGCGTGTAGTGCTCTGAATAACCTTTTTCCCATTTTTTCTCTTAGGATTTTTTTTTTTTATCTTTATCTCCTAGGATCTTGATAAACAAGCTTCCTTTTGACTTACTAAACTCTAAAAAAATAAAACTAAGTATCACTATACTGTGCTATAAGAGAATTCAGGAAATAAAAAATAACTGGTTAGTAGATGCTAATGAATCTTCACATCATCCACAAAAGAGGGGGAATAATGACCAGTCCATACTTATTCCTATGTCATTAATGACTTAGACGTCAGTTAGTATGTTTGTGGTGATCAGTTATTGAATTGAGTCTTCCTAAATAGGATTTCTAAAACTTCTGAAATAGCATTCATTCATCAAGCTGGCCTATCTCTAAAGAATAATTCTGCATTCTGAAAGAGTAAATCATAAAAAAAGGTAATATAGTCTATCCTAAGTATTTCCTTCAAAGATACAATTAGTCTGAGATTGGTACTTTAGTGTCTTTAAACTAAAAAATACTTATTTTCACAAAATTATTAATACTTGGATCAGTTAAACTTCACCTTTCAGCATATTTGATGCACATGTTGTCTCAATGCCAGATGTGCTAAAGTTGTCTTTTACTGCAATAGGAATTCCATCTAAATCCCCAAGGGACTGACCTGCATTAGAAAGCCAAAATAGTGATATTGGAGATAACAGTTCAAAACATAAGGACATATCAATACCTGTTATTATTAATAACTACTAGGTTTTTGGCAAAGATACTTCAGAAATCAAATTTGTTAGAAATTAATACAGTTGGACATTATAAAGCATCACATATCCATTACCCTCATTTTTATTATAACTTGTGGTAAGCTCTTTAAGGGTATGTTTTATGTTTAAAGCTTCACTTGCCAAATGGAGACTACTAAATCAAATTAAACTCTTTCTCTGGAGATATAACAAGTGTAATTAAAAGTAATTTACCATTCTTATATCTTTTTTCTGATTCTTCAGCTTGTTTTAAGGCCACCTCTTCTGTTACAGTAATGTAGGCGTTTAGAAACTTGGTCTTCTTGATAAGAGAAAGACATTTTTGACAGAGCTCTATTGGTGTAATTTGGCCTTGTTTCAATGCCGCAGAAACCTATGGTATATAAAATTCAAAAATCTTTTACTGAGTCTGCAGAAGTTTCAAATATTATACTGAAAGGGGGTGATAAAGCGGCTAAGTATAAAATTTTGAAGTGAGGGTTGGGTTCAAAATCAAGAAAACATATTATCTCTATCTTAGATAGTGTAGTGAACAAGAGATAACACATTAATCAGCTTGAGGATAGGTGGAGGACATGATATCCTTCTCCCTAGGCTAGCTTTCTGCTCTCAGAAGTTGAATGTTCTGGGGGAGTTGAGGCCCAGCATGGGTGAGGGGTGGACATGGGTAGAATATATACAGAGGGTAGCTTAGCTGCATAATAGGCAGTCCAGAGAGAAAAAAGAGAAGTGAACTGGACAAGGCACTGCATGATTTTATAGCTCTAAATAAGATCTGTAAACATATTGTGGGATTCAAGCAAGAACCACTAAGAATTGAGAAAAACGCACATAAAATATAGGTCCAAGAGCAAAGTAAAAATAAACTTTTCTGAAATTCTGTGTCTGATGCATTAGGAAGGATAATAAAGTGTTAAAATAAACTATATTAAAAGTGACCATAATGTGCATATTGACAAGAAGTAGGGCCTGAGATGAAGGGATGACTGTATAATATTTCCTGTAGGAAGTAATAATATGTACTACTCAGATGAAAGGAATGAATAATAAGAAGTCAAAGATGATACCAAAACTTTGAAGATTATACAAAAAGAGAGTTGGATAAGATGGGAGCTGAGAGATAAGGGGCTAAAGGGAGAAGTAATATATACTGAGTATTTACCAAAAGCCAAGTACTGTTGCTTTATATAATTTAACCCTTTTCCTTCATTTAACCCTTTAGACAACCAGACAACTCAAGTATTAACTTCATTTGACAAATGGAGAAACTGAAGCTCAGAGAGGTTGAGTGATTTGTCCAAAGTCACACAAATAGTAAAGGATAGGGTGACTTCATAAGATATGCTCCTCACCATTTCTATCTCTACTGTACTGGAAGCTTAGCTTGTCCTCCAAGTTGAGTGTATTTTCACATGTCTTATCTGCAACAAGCAACAGGAGTTCGCATTTGAGGAGAAAATTTGCAAATGATCCGTTCTCAGCTTTTGAATAAATCATCAAAGCAATGGCATTCTTAGGGCTAAGGGTTTCAAATGTGAAAAGCAGTGGGATTAGATCATTGAGAGGACCCCTAATGCTCATGGACAAGAGGAAAAGGACTTCCATAGGGAGGCTGCAGGAGTGCTGCAGGAATGGGAGGGCAGCGAGGCTTGACTTCAATTAAGGAGGTGACTTAGTAACAAGAAGAGATATTTCTGTTGAATAGTTTACTATCCTCAAGCTGCTTTCTGACTTGCCAACTGCTACAAGAGCTATGGAATTACAGTTGTGGTTAGAAAAGCAAGAAATGAGATCGTAGGAACACTCATTTTAAATGGTGCTGATCCTCATTAGGACCATCTTAAGGAACTCTAGATTAGAGAAAATAAGGGAACTGGAAAAGAGAAGTGAAAACAGAGATGCTAATTACCTAATATGGAGTAAGCATAAGGAGGAAGAATAAAACGTATGTACAGCTCTCAAGGGACAAAACTGCAGGTGTCATATCTGAATATATAATAAAGTCAACTTAAAAAATATTCTCTCTCCCTGGCAAGTCTTTTGTCTAATGGAAACTAGGGCTTCCCTGGCAGTCACCACTTCTCCCTTTTGGTGCCTACTTACCAGACATCAGAGTCGTGTGTGTGTGTGTGTGTGTGTGTTGGGGGAGGAAGTGTACAGGCAGGTGTCCTTGTTCCTTCAGCTTGTCTCTTCCCTCTTCTCTCAAATTTCATAGCTCCTTTGAAGTACATGCTCTGGAAGATTATACCTCCCTCGTGTGCTGATCTAGTCTCCCTGGTACTTCTTTTTATTCCTTGATGATTTTAGCACCTAGCTCACTGTCATCTTTGTTTACTACTGCCCCTGTAGTCATTCTTGCTCACTCAAACTTCAAGTCCATGGTGTACACTGACATTTGGCCTTTCAATTCCTTGCCCTCACTTCACACAAACTTCTCCTTCACTCCACCCATCTACCAACTGTCCTGGTTATGGCCCAGACTATATCACTACCAATATCCACATGATTTCCTAAATATCATTTCAAATCATCCTACATCTCCTGCCCCTCAGCTCACTGACTTTAATACCCACATGGCCAGCAAGAAATTGGAGACCTCAGTTCCATGACTGAGGTCATGGAAATGAAATCTGCCAACAACTAATGAGGCTGAAAGAGGCCTAGAGCTCCAGATGAAGCTGCAGCCCTAGCTGACACCTTGCTTTCAGCCTTGTGCCACCCTGAGCAGAGAACCCAGCTATTCCATGCCCAGACTTCTGACACACACAACTGTCAGATAATAAGACTACGCTATTTTAAGCCACAAAGTTCATACTAATTTGTTATGCAGCAATAGAAAACTAATATACCTCCTTAGAAAAATTAAGAAAACTTCCTTAGGAACCACTCTTCTTACAAAGTAGAGGAAGGAAAATTATAAATACATGTACGTTATTTAGTAATTTAGTCCCTGTAACAAAATTAATGTTAACGATAGCTAGCACTTAGTTCTAGGCATTGTCTTGGGAGCTTTATATTTAATTTAATTTTTATATCCACACTGAGGGGCTGATGTTACTATGTCCATTTTACAGATAACAAACTGAAGTTCCTGCCTAAGGTCCCAGAGCAAAAAGTAGCAGAGCTGGGATTCAACCAAGGACTGATCTTGTTTCCAAAACCCATGCTCTGAAACACTATCCTACAGTTGAGTAGCCTTATCCAAAATGCTTGGACCTGGAAGTGTTTCAGATTTCAGATTTTTTCAGATTTTGGAATACTGTATTTGCATGATACACTTTCCAACTGAGCATTCCTAATCAGAAAATCCAAAATCTGAACTGCTCCAATGAGCATTCCCTTCGAGCATGACCTCTGAGTGTCATGGTGCTCAAAAAGTTCCAGATTTTGGAGCATTTCAGATTTTGGAATTTTGTTTTAGGTATGCTCGACTTGTATAATTGTTCTCTATTCAAGGTATTACGGCATTACTCCTCTGTAACAAAGTGGAGAATATTTTTATTCTTTACAGATTTTTATACTTTACAGATGATATTGCAGAGAATATTTTTATACTTTACAGATAACACAGTTCTTAGGAAAAGAACTTTGAAAAAAAATTGCCTTGATAAATGCTGAAGGTGTAGGAGAGCTCTTGAGGGCTGAGTGTCCAGCTGATGGGTACCCACTCTCTCTTTAACACACTCCATTCATGCTTTTGTCTTCATTGTTCCATGAAATTGCATATCAAAATCACCAGCAACCTCTACATTCCTAAACCTAGTAGTCAACACCTTGTGCTCATTTTATAGTACTCATCAGGAGCATTCAACATAAGTGCTCACTCCCTCCTTGAACTGCTTCTTTACTTGTGTGCAGAATAACACATTGTCCTGGTTTTCCTCCTGCCTCACTGGCCATTCTTTCAAGTCTCTCTTGCTGGCTTTACTTCATGTTGCTGGCCTCTAAATGTTGGAAAGTTTTAGGCCTCCTTCTATTTTTACACTCAAGATCCCAGGCAATCTCATCTGGCCATATAGCTTTAATTATCTTCTATACTCTGGCAAATTCATATCTTCATATCTAGCTTCTTTCCTGCGCTCCAAACACTTGTGTCCTCCTGCTTAAATGACATCTTCACTTGGATTTCTAGGGGGCATCTCAAAATTAATGTCTAAAACAAAACTCTTGATAACTTCCTCCTTCTAAACTTGTTCCCTTTATAGTCTTTTCCTTCTTGATAAATGTACCATTTCCCCAATTGCCCCCAAAACCTAAGTATTCTTGATTCTTCTCTTTTCCTCAACTCTCATATCCAATTCATCTGCAAGCCTTAACTTAAAAAATAATACCCACTCCCATTACCTCTACTGCCGCCACCCTATCCATGTTGCTATCATTTCTTGCCAATGCAATTGGTCTTCCTAATTGGTCTTTCTGCTTCCTTGCTTGCTTTCCTAGACCATAATCCTTAAGGAGCTTTTAAAATTTTAAATCAGTTCACATCTATAGACTCAAAACTTGCCAGAGGTTTTTCATTACATTTAAAATAAAATCTGCACTGAGCTGGGCATGGTGGCATGTGCCTGTGGTCCCAGGTCCTCAAGCTGAGGAGCGAGGATCCCTGGAGCCCAGGAGTTTGAGGCTGCAGGGAACTATGACTATGCCACTGTACTCTAGCCTAGATGACAGAGCAAGACCCCATCTCAAAAAGAAAAAACAAAAAACAAAAAATCCGCACTCCCTGCTATGGCTACAAAGGTTTGCCAAAATCTGGCTCCTGTCTATTCCTCTAACCTCTCCTACTACTCTCTCTTCACTCACTTCTTTCCAGGCATGCTGGCCTTCTTGCTATTTTTTGAACATGTAAAGCTTGCTCTTGCTTTAGGGTCTTTGTATTTACTGTTCCCTTTGCCTGAAGCACTCTTCCAGATTTTTCCAGGGCTTACCCTTCATGTCCTTCTGGTTTCTATTAAATATCACCCATTCAATCAGCCTAGTTCTCACAGTATAAACTACTTAATTTTACTTCCTAGTACTTACACTACCTGAAATTATATCATTACTTTAAAAAAAAAAACTATTTAATGCCTGCTTTCCCACAAAAATACTGTAGGTTTTATAAGGGCAGGGGCTTCTGTCCATTTTCAATGCTAATCTCCAATGCTCGGAACATAGAGATGCTCAATAAATGTTAGTTGAATGGATGAATAACTGAGTTGTTTAAAATTTGGAATCTATTTCCCTGTATAAAAATTATTAAATGTGCTTAGGTTAGACCCCCAAGGAGCCAGTTGAATATATCATTAATTAAACTTTACAATTGACAAGATCAGCCTGGTGTCTGGCTCCTAGAAATATAGGAATTATGCCACAAAAAACAAAGAGAGACTCCTTCCCCTTCCTGAATGTAGCTAGATAAAATTACAAATATTAGTTTTACCAATGTGACATTTTACCTCCTTCTGGTAGCTGTTCCCAGGGCTCCTGTTACCTTAAGCCTCCACAACATCCCCCAAATTGTTTCATAAGTCCATATTGCCAGCTCCTCTACCTAATTTCAACCCCAGCAAATTTCTCTTTTCTTCAGTTGATTATCTCAACTCAGGTGTTACAAAGAAATTTGATTGAACTATTGTAATTTACAACAATGAGTGAACAAATCATTCAACCTTCTTAGGCATCTGTACATGCTTAAAGGAGAATGTGCACTGAATTAATCACTCACTAATTGCAGAATTTGGGGCATCAATATAGTGATGTGCAAAAAATACAAAGTGGATAGAAGATACCTTTGGGGCTGGGAAAATAACCACTAAATAATGTTTCATACACAGTAGGCATTAATAAGTATTTGTTAAAGGAATGAATAGGTGAGTGAAGGTGATCATGCCCAGGCAAACTCTCAGTCTGCTCTTAGGTCCACTCTCTTAAATGGTTCTTTTTTTTCTCCCCCACGAGGCAAAAGTTTCTCACAACATTAGAAAAGGGTAGCACAAAAAAGGTGGTTCTTAAAAGGATGTGAAAGTTGTCAAAATCAAAATAAAGTCATTTGTGTTAAAACCCTGACAAATGGAGCCAGGGAAAGCCATGAAGAGAGGGTTCTCTTGCACAAATGGCTGATAAGAAGAACTATCACAAAAGACTGCAAAAATCACAACCTTACACAAATGCCATTGCAACTTTACACACATACGCACACACACACAAACTTCTGCAAGAATGTCTGTCTAGCAACTGCATGTGCAACCGTGAACTGACACCACCTCTGTTACTGATCCTTGTAGCCAAGGATAACTGATTCAAAACTTCCCCTTGCTCCCACCTCCTTGAATATACATAGTTTACTATGGCACCCATATTCCCATTGCATTGTTTCTCCCAAATAAACATCATTTTCTTTTGGACAGTCTCCTTCTTTGTTATTCATATTGACAGGTGAAAAGGCAGACAAAGGAAATACCATATTTTTGTAGGTTGTATTTCATTTTAAAACAAGTTTTAGGGAACTTTCTTTTTTAAGAATAAATTTGATTTTTCACTGACAACATATGCCAGATACATTATTTTGCCATCTTAAATTGCATTTTGGGGAAGAACTATTTATTATTTAATAGTCTGGATTTAAAATTCTCATTATAACGTATAGCTTTCTTTCTTTTTTCTTTTCAGACACAGTCTTGCTCTGTTGCTAGGGCTAGAGTGCTCTGGCGTCAACCTAGCTCACAGCAACTTCAAACTCCTGGGCTCAAGTGATCCTCCTGCCTCAGCCTCCAGAGTAGGTGGGACTACAGGCACGTGCCACCACACCTGGCTAATGTTTTCTATTTTTAGTAGAGACAGGGTCTTGCTCTTGCTCAGGCTGGTCTCCAATTACTAACTTCAAGCATTCCTCCTGCCTTTGCCTCCCAGAGTACTAGTATTACAGGTGTGAGCCACCAAGCCCAGCTTGATAACTTACAGCTTTGTATAATTATGATATCAGGTGGGGGGTGGGGGGGAACCTTCCCTGGTGGAAATAAAAAAGGAAGATTAAAAGTAGACTAGGTTCTCAACCACTGCTTAGCACCAGAAATCATCTAGAGCCCCCTTTAAACCGTGCTGGGGGCCATAGCTCACAGATATGTCTGATTAAGCCTGGAGTGGGACACAACTGTAGTTTTAGTAAAGGGCCCCAGATGATTCTGATAGCAGTGGGCCTGCAGATAGTTTAAAGGTTGAGAGATCTAGACCAGTAGGCAAGGAGGCCTGAGTTAATGCCATAATGGCAGAAGTAACATGAGAGAACAGAGTCCAGCCATATCTACAAGATAGAATTAACAGGGCTTTATATTGGACAAGGAAGAATCTAAGGCCAAATAGGACAGTAGTTGTGGCACTAAAAGAGTACAGTAAGTATTGAGAAGAATCCAGACGTTTTTGTTTTAAAGATGGGGGTTGATAGGTAAGGGGTAGTAGTCCCGGTTACAACGATGACTTCAACTTTGGTTAAAGTGAGTTTGAGGTGCTTAAGGGACATTTGGAAGAGCTGTTGACAAATATACCCTAGAGTTCAAAACTTATGTCCAGGAAATGGAGATATGGGTTACGAAATCTGATATCTTAGTGGTAAGTGAAGCCTGGAGAATGAAATTTTTTAAAAAGCCAAAAATGACTCCTTTGGAGTTTGCAACCTACAAATTCGCGAGAACTGCACTGGCTGAGTATCAAGTGGCCCAGCAAAGTCCCAGTTGTCTGATTAAGCCTACTCTGAGAGACCCTCCGGAACCTGACCGTAGTTCGAGTAAACGTCTGATCCCGAGAAGCCGGATGGATGTGCACTTCCACCCTACAGCTGGGCAGTACAGACATCTCCCTTGCTGAGGTATAACTTCTGAATGGGTATAGTGAGTAAGTACAGCCTAAGGACCGAAAGGTCCGAATCCCCCACCCAGTAGAAGGGAAGGAGGCGGCAAGGCGGACCTAGGTGGGTAGTCAGACCAGGGTTCCTTGTCCACGGGGCCTGAGAAACTTTCCACCCTCCCAGACCCCTCAGCCGGCTAATTCCACTCACTTCTCGGAGGGTCCGGCCCAGCATGGTCCTCGTGCTCAGCCTGCCACTACCAGAGCCAGGTGACAAGGAGAAAAAAACTGAGGTCAACCGGCGCTCGCGGTATTACGTGAGCGCAGCCATCTTTGATCGTCACTGAACCCTTCAACACCGAGTACTTGGATTGGTTGAACTGCAGCCTGAAGGAAATCATCTTTGCACGCGATTGGTTAGTGCCGCAAAGCCTCCCTGGTTGGGACAAAAGCCGGCGAGCAAGGAGACTCTGGTGCAGGGTCTCAGCTGCAGTCAGGAAGCGTCAGGTTTTCTGTGGCGTCGGATCGCGAGCGGTGTCTGCTTGTCCAGCCGAGGGCTCCCAGGACTGGGGTCTAGGGGGTGCTGCACATCTGCTTTTGCTTATTTAAGGGGGAAAGGGGTGTGAAGGAGGGAGGAGAATGGACAGGATCCTGACTGGAACGTTAATTGGAGCATTTCACATGCGAAGAGCAAAATAACAATTCCGTATTCTTCCTTCAGTTGCTCCGTTACGTTAACTTCGTTTTCGAATGCTCAATTTTGAATGCTTTCAATTTTGAAACTAGCCTGTGTGTTTGGCAGAATTTGACTGAATTCAGGGGTGAAAGTTTGATCCAGTCCAAGTTTAATTGGGGCACTGAGTTCAACCACTGTTTATAATGGAATTTCTGAAGACATGTGTGCTTAGAAGAAATGCATGTACTGCGGTTTGCTTCTGGAGAAGCAAAGTTGTACAAATGCCTTCAGTTAGAAAGATTAGTACTACCTCTCCAAGGAGCACTGTCATGCCTGCATGGGTGATAGATAAATATGGGAAGAATGAAGTGCTTCGATTCACTCAAAACATGATGATACCTATTATACACTATCCAAATGAAGTCATTATCAAAGTCCATGCTGCGAGTGTAAATCCTATAGATGTTAACATGAGAAGTAAGTTTTCAAAAGATGTTCGTAGTTACCCTTTTTTTTTTTTTAAATCAGAATTTCAGCAGATACTCAGTTTTAAAAGGTCAGTTATTTGACTACACTTTTTTGGTGAATACAAAGGAAACATTTAGGTTTTTTATAACACTTCTGCAAATGTTAATTTCCAAAACTTTTGAAATTGCAGTGGCCAGGGTATACTTTACTCTTTTACAAATGTTTTTTTCCATGCTTCCTTAACATGTAAATTGGGACTTGAGAATTGTCAACAGCTGACTTTCAGGTGTACTGTCTTGTGAACTTTGTGATACTCTGAAATCCATCACAGGTTTTAGAGATATCGTTGGGTTTCCTCATCAGTTCAGAATTTGCATTTTTGTGGTAATTCCTCTCCTCTTTGCTCTCCCCTTTACTCAGAGCTTTGTTAATTGGTCCAGTAGACAAAGCAACAGAACAGTACTACCAGATATGGACATAGTACTTTCCTCATTTCTTCTATTGGGTTCTGCCCTCAACATTTAAGATACACTTTCCTGTTATGCACCATTCCAAAGGGGCATAATCTTAATTTTTGCTGGAGGATATTGACAAAGCTTGGAGAGCACTCTGTTCCATATATATATATATATCTCAACTATTTATTATAGTGCTGAAAATACTAGTACTTATGAATTGCTTTAACTTTGGAAAATGTCAAAAATATTATCATTATTATGGGAACCTATGTCTGTTCTTCTGAAGAAATTAAAAAACACATCTTTTAGGGTGATTAACCTCAGTGTTAATCACAGGGCAGTTAACCTCAGTGATTTAAGCAAGCTTCCATATGCAGTTTAACCATGGGTCAGTGTTCTGCCGGGCTTGTGTGTAGACCTACAATTATGTTCAGCCTATTGCCTCAATAGCAATTCTTATCTATGACCTATGTGTGATGAACTTAACTTCTTTGTTCATATATGTAATTGCAAGATTAAGATTAATAATAGAATGAACCATTTTGTGGAATTTGTAGAGAAGTATGAAAATGTTGAGTCTGTGACTTCATTTCTTCTCTTTTTTTCCAGGAGTGATGTATGGTAGATGAGGGTAGCACTTCTCAAATTTTTTGGTTTCAAGATCTCTTCACATTCTTAAAAAATTATTGGGCTTTTGTTTATGAAAGCTATAGTTATCAATATTTACCTTATTGGAATTTAGAAAAAAAATTTTAAATATTGAGTTAAAAATACAGTAAACCTCTTTTGTGTTAACATTACAAAATTAGGATTAAAAATATAGAATGACATAAAAATAATGACTAAGAGACAACTACATATGTGAAGCACTAGAACAGGTAATTAATAGAGCATGGGATCTTCCTTCAAAGAGCTTACAATGAAAAATTGGTATTTTCCAAAATAAGCGAAAAAATTAGAAGACTATCATTGTTTTATGCCTTTGCAAATGTCTTTATTTATCTGGTTTAATAAGACAACTGGATTTTCATATGTGCTTCTGTATTCAGTCTGTTGCAGTACATTTGAAATAATGAAGAAAAGCCAGCCCTCATAGATTGTTGGAAAAGAAAGGACTTCTTAGAGTCTTTGAAAAGATCTTGGGGATGTACCAAACTTGAACTTTTGGATTAGGGAAATAAAGTCTAGATTCATTGTCTTTAGGTCCTTTGACTCTAATTTTGAATGGAGCTATTTTTAACTTAATATATCTTGACCTGTACTGTTCAATATAGTAGCCACTAGCCACATGTGGCTATTCAGCAGTTCAAATGTGGCTAGTCTGAATTGAGATTTGTAGTCAGTATAAAATACACATTAGATTCAAAGACTTAGAAAAAAAGAAGGTAAAATGTCTCATTAAGAATTTTATGTTGATTATGTGTTGACATGGTAATATTTTGGAAAAGTTAAGTAAAATATTACTAAAATTTTCACTTTTTACCTTTTGTGGTTACTAGAAAATTTTAAATTACATATGTGGCTGGCATATTTCTATTGGACAGCACTTATCTAGAATATGTGATAGAATATTATACATATTTTGGGGGGAAGAGGTTTGAGGAAAGACTTGGATTTGAAATGGCTAGTAAGTTCTATTAAGAATGAATTGAAAAGACTTTATGATTGCCTCATGAAATCCACATCTGTATTTTTGTTTTGAATTTGAATAATTGCTACTAGTTGAGCATGTTTTACTTTATTCTTTTTATGTTGGGCTTAAAGATATTCATAATTTAACTTTTACACACTATGTCTGTAAGTGGTAGGTTTTACCCAATGATCAGTATGTTTTTTCATGTTTTTTGACCATAAGCTCATTTTTTTTGAGACAGAGTCTCACTTCGTTGCCCTGGCTAGAGTGCCATGGCATCAGCCTAGCTCACAGCAACCTCAAACTCCTGGACCCAAGCGATCCTCCTGTCTCAGGCTCCCGAGTAGCTGGGACTACAGGCATGCACCACCATGGCTGGCTAGGCTAATTTTTTTTATATATATATATATATTTTTAGTTGTCCAGCTGATTTCTTTCTATTTTTACTAGAGAAGGAGTCTCACTCTTGCTCAGGCTGGTCTCAAACTCCTGAGCTCAAACCATCCTCCCGTCTCGGCCTCCCAGAGTGCTAGGATTATAAGTGTGAGCCACCTCGCCCGGCCTGATCGTAAGCTCTTTGAAGATAGATCCCATGCTTCATTAACCTGTTTCAGTGTTCCACATATGTAGTTATCATTCAGTCATTATTTTTATGCCATTTTATATTTTCATTCTGACTGAAAATTGCAAACTTAAATTAGCAGTATTTTATCCATGAGTAATTTTTATTTTGTCTTCATTTAGATCTATTAACTTTTCATTTCTTTAAGTACACATGTACAATTTGTGTTGTGTACATTTTCATTTCAGTAGAATGGCTATATTTAGACTTTTCTTGAATGCTATTTAATAATATACTATAAAACATCTTTTATATAGTGTTCTTAAGACATCTTAGTTTTTTATGACTTGACGAGGTAATATTTGTAAGTTATCCTTTTTTTTTTTTTTTTTTTCTTTTCTCCTCTTCCCATGGATTCCTTTTGAGAATGTATTATTATTGTTGCAGAAGATATCTGAAATAGTAGCTTGGGGAAATAAAATAATGAGTACAAGACTGTGAACTGTAGGAAGCAGTTATTTCCCTTGACAAGAAAATAAGAGACATGTCTATTTTGAAAGATGAAGGCCGGCTGTTTTTCTGAAGATGGCCACTACTGTTGGCCATAAAATAATAAATCATAGAAATGGCTAAAGAAATGGATAATTTAAAAAATACAGCCAACAGCATCATACCAACAAAGTTTGGTTTCTTTAGATGGGATTAAAGTCTTTGAAACGGATGACAGATTTAGTATTTTCCAAATTGGCACAATTTTGAACAAGTCAAAGTGGCAGCCTCTATCAATGAGATGGAACCCTTAAGGGCTTCATTCATTTGTGTTGCCAAGGAGGTTCTCAATTACTATCTACCAGCTAGCTGCATTCTGGATTTGGGGCTAGTTGAGATAGCACAAGTGAGCTAGGGCTATTCAGTTAATGCATTAGCATATCAGGATGACCAGGAAAACCTGGAAAACAACCTTGAGCTGCAGGCTCTCTCTACTCAAAAGGACTGAAACCTTTTTGCAACTCAGAAACAGCAGCCACAATTTGACATGGCTAACTGCCCACTTCTGTTCAAACATAGAGGTTTCAGTGAATAATTACTTAATTATGTTTTAATGGTGGAAAAGAAATATAAGACAGGAAAAATGAAGCATGTGACTTTTGTGAGTATTACATGTGAAGTTGTTTTTTTTCCCTGACAGAATGCGGTCCTAACTAGCCAGATGGCAAATGCGTAGTGTTGGCATAATGGCCGTCAGCTTAGATTTTCTGGGACTATCCCAACTCTCAAATACTTTCTCCCATGTGTCTTGGATTTTTATTAGAAAAACAACTTCTGCAAACTATCCACCTGTCAGCATCTCTCTCTCTGTGTGTCTTCTACCTTTGATCCTACTATATGCACTGTCGTTGCTCCTATCTAAGGCCAACCCTACACTTGTGTTCCTGATCCCATCTCTTCTCACTTACTCTGGGGTCTCATTCCAGCAAGTCCCTCCTGCATCATCAGTCTTTTCTACTGGTTGATTACAATTAGCATATAAACTTGCTTTTATTTCTCCCCTCTTAAA